GGGGGGGGGGGGGGGGGGGGGGGGGGGGGGGGGGGGGGGGGGGGGGGGGGGGGGGGGAGGAAGAGGGGAGGAGAGGGAACAAGCTCTGCGATCTCCTAGCCGCAGCAGTTTGCAAAATTTTAACCCGAAATATTTTTGTTGAATTTCGAGTCCAAAATTTTGTCACTTCTAACCCAAGACGAGTTCTTACCTTGCTAACTAAGATTTTTTCAATCTGTTGTTGTCCAGTTTGTAAGACATGAAGCATGAACTACAACAAAAAGGTTTCTTCCTTCTGTCTTTCCACATGGAACATTTGCTACTTTACATGGTTCTTAGGAGGCTGTACTGATGATTCCCACCCCTAACCACACCTTTAGTTGTCTGTGTTTACAGCTAAGGGATGAAACAGAGACAAATATCTCTGCATATTCTCAGCACATGAGATATGAATATGTCACATTGTTTATAAAACATGTTCCTAAACACTATCTCCCAATTTCCCCCTCCCGCCCTCCCCCCCTTCTCCCTTGCCTCCCTCGCTCGCCCCCTCCCCCCATGTGCATCAGCTTATTCCACATGAAATATTAAACTCGAATCTTTCCATTCCATCCTATTCATTTCGATAAAATCCCACGTTTTAGAAACTAAATAAAAGCGACCACTTATAAATTCGAGCTCAAAGACCGTCCAATTCTCTTTTTAGCGTGATCGCTTCTAGTAGTAGCAGTAGCAGCAGTGGCAGCGGCAGTAGCAGCAGCAGTAGTAGTAGTAGCAGCAGTGCAGCAGTAGCAGCAGTAGCAGTAGCAGCAGCAGTAGCAGCAGCAGCAGTAGCAGAAGCAGCAGTAGCTACAAAATGTACATTGTGCATGACAGTTGGGCGGAACGAACCTTACGAAAAGATTGATATATCTGTATCTTGTTACGGTCAGACGTTCACGTGCATGACGCCTAAAACCTTTGACAATCTCGGATTGTACCGGGAATGCTTCAGCAACATGCATATCGGATGGAAATTCAATGTGAATCTCCGTGGAAGCTTTCTTTTTCGCATCCATTAGTGCCTGCCGCAAAATCATACAAGCCTGAAAAACGAATGCCAATTAAGTAATGCTAAAAATTGTATTCCAAAATTAAGTAAAAAAATTAAATTCCAATTAAATTCCAGCGCGATTAAATTTTGACACAATTTTTAACAATTCTTTAAAAGATTTTGGAAATCAAATTTTAATGCAATTTCATATTTTTTAGAAAAATTTTGGAAATTAAGTAGCCCTTGTGTCTTTTTTAATAAAAATTGACTTATTACATGAAATCTTTAATTAAATTTTAACACAGCCTTCTAATTTCTTTAAAAAAATTTCGAAAATTAAGTAGTTTTTTTGCGCATTTTATAATAAAAAATGACTTGCTACATGAAATTTTTCTATAAGAAAACACATTAAAAAAACCCCTTAGGCACGGAAAGTCCTAAGAATCCTAATCACTGCAGCTATCCTCTTCCGCTCCCTCACTGCCACATTTAAAACTGGCAAAAAAGCGAACTTTTTTCCGCTGTAGCTTTAGTTGTTCCAGGGCTTCGTCAACGTTTAAACGCCAAGCAAGCTGACATGCCATGAACATTCGTTTCGGACTACAGTGAATCGATTCACGGCAATAATATACTTGCCTCAAAAGTGGCAAACCGGTTTCCGGACTGATATAATTCGGTGGCCAAACAACCTGAAATTATCAAACATTCTTGAATTAGTAAGAAATTTGCTGGAAGCACTGAGCTATAATTCATGGAATAGAAGGTAGGGGCCATAGAATGCGGAAGAGGATGAAATTTTCAAGAGGTTTTTTTACCGTCCTTGGTAGGCCGAATCATACTTTCTGAAGTAATGACCCGTACAAACCGCAGAAAACATGGAATGGTCGAAACCGTTGAGTTTTAAGGGTGTTGAGTTTCCTGGCCCAGGCGTTCCTTCGAATGGCCCGT